TAAATGACATAGTGAGGTTACGACATACTCTCACAAAACAATAATTTCGTCCTGTTAATCTATACTTTTGCAGTAAAACTTAAGTTTTCCTTATAGTAAATACTTCAAAAAATATTTTAATATATAACAAAGTTGATTTATTTATCTTTAATATGTTTAAAATTTGAAAAAATCTAACTATAATCATTATACCCCAGGTTCCCCTACAACGGACCGAATTTTTGAAAGTTTTTGTCTTTGTTTTAGCACGTGGCAAATTGGATCTTCTAATGACATTGAAGGCTTAGCGCTCATGATCTCACTCACATGTGCATAAAATTTGCAATCATTCTAGAGTTAATAGAAAACGACATTAGATGAATTTAACATAACGTTCATTATCAAGTAATTTTCTAACAAATACATAGTAGTTTTCTAACATATTAATATTTCTGCAATGCAAAATAATGCAAATTATTTAATAATTTATAATTAAGTACAAAAACTCGGGGTACAAAAAATAGGAAGTCGAGAATGTAGGAAGGAAAAATGTAGAAAAAATAGTATATTATAAGTAACGTGATACGTGATATATAGATCTAAACATCGCTGCTTACGATCATTGCAATTTTGTTCGCCAGCGAACGAGTGTCTTTTGCATTTGTTCAGAGACATATTATAAGAGTAACCACGACAATATCATCGCTATAAGGAAACGCATCCCTCGAGTTCTCTTACGATGCTAATGAGACTCGGTACTTTTTGAAGACCTCATCAGTCATACGCACAAGATACCTCTCAGCCGATTCTACGTGCTTGAAGAGTCTCAAGATACCATTCGCCAAACGGATCCTTCCATGCTGATAACTCACAGTACAAGTATGTGAAACTTCAACGAGTTCATGCCCTTCCTGTGCAATGCCGTGCTAACAATTGGACATTCATGTCTCTTTCCCTTTCTTCAGACTTCTCTTTACATCTCGTTTCGCGACTCGACCTGTGTCAAATACGCTGTATTCTTCTCCGAAGCTACGTGGGCGCGTTACGAAGTACCGTTTCATAAATAATTGCCTTGTCATCACGTGTCAGACCGCCATGTTGTACCGATACTGTAATTTACCGATATGCGTGAATAGTGAGATATTGCATATGGTATTACGTCAGCACAAAGAGCAATAACACATTTTTCTTAGATATACATCTGCGACAATAGTTCTGTATGTAACTCTCTCCCTAATTCATTATACTTGGCTTTGTTTCATATTATTCGTAAACGTCATTTGTCATCTATCATTCACTGAGTTTATACATATATTGCTCCCTTTTTGTTCCTTTTTTGTAACTGATTTTCTTTAATTTTTGAAAATTTTCTTTGTTCTATATCATGTTTGCTTTAATTTATTTGTTCTTAGAGACCCTATAGAACGATAATAAACGCCCTATCCCCCTTTTTCTGTCTCTTTTTTCTCTGTTTCTCTTTCTCTCCGTTTGAAGCACATTATTAAAAATGTTCCCTGTGCGGAGTCGTAGGAACGCTAAGGAATCAAGGGCTGAGCAAAGCATCGCGAAAATCGCACCCCGAGCGGAACCGCCGTCTCCGGATTCCCATGCCATGTTAATGAGCCTCATAAAACATGGCATACCCCAGTGAACCGAATAACCCGCTGACGCACGTGTAACGTGCGTAACGTGTGAACGTGGTGGTATCATGGTCGTCAGGTCCCGAGCACTGTACGGCTGGGGCCTGAAAGTCCATGCGCTGGAGATTTCATATTTCGACTGGAGGCCTGTCGATTGTTTCATTAAAAAAAAAAAGAAAAAAGGCGCAGGGTTTAATTCGTGTTTTGCAACCACTGTTACAGACTTTTTTTGTCATAATATTTGACCGACATAAAGTGTCAACACAATCACAGAGACCTTTTTATTATTATTACAATAATTACAATCATTACAATAATTATAATAATTACATACAGTGCGAACAGAATTACAAATTTTTTTATTATTCGTAAAATAACATAAACTGCGAACATAATCACAGACTTTCTTATTAATTTCCACGTAATTTAAATATGCAATTAATAAATACCCCACGCGACCGAAAAACTGGAGATTTTTCCCGTCTACTGGAGAACTGGAGATTGGTCCCGAAAATTGGAGTCTCCAGTTGAAATCTGGAGACCTGGCAACCGTGGACGGTATATGTATTCGAGTCTCCATACGTGCAACGATCGCGAATAACACGAGATTATATATTTTACATTCAATTTTCTACGTACTCTATCAGTATGCACGCGAAAACTTTGCGATCTAATATATTGCAAATATACATTAATTGCGCAGTGAAAATTCAATGACAACTTTGATTATTTTCTGTAACTCTTAATCGATCTCATGTTTCTCGAGTTAGTCAAATTTCTATTTCGCTTAACTTCCTCTCCCTTAACGACGTATTTTAGATTTTATAGAAGAAAATATTATATCAATCGTAGTTATTTTAAAACAATTAAAGTTATTTTTAAAAAATTTACAATTAATTATAATTATATTATAATATAAGATATATTTTAGAAATATATCTACTAATACAAATAATTCTTATTATTTAAGTAAAAAACTTTAACCAGATAATCAATAATAAAAATAACATCCATCGAGAAAATGCAAGATTCTAATTTTTACGAAGTATTTAATTTTGGAATAAGTTGATTGAAACTTCTTGTTTTTTTACGATAAAATCTATTAACTATAATAAATAGAAGAAATATTTTTTTTGTGTGTGATTTCTGGCTTCCATGAATTATGTTTTTGATTTTACAGATAAGTATCGCGTAAGTGTACGAGCAGTTTGATATTTCCGGCTTGACCATCGCAAGAAAAGATTTCCCGTAATTCTTTATCACCCGCATCCTATTGTTATGAAATTGCAAATTCACAGTCGTGAGAACTGATTTTATCCGGTGATATTTTAGTCAAGCGAATCACATAGTAATAATTATCATGAAATCAATATCGAAATTCTGTGCTTTCGCACGACAATTACTATCTTGGTCGTTCTTCCTCGCCCTGCATTCGCGTTTTACGGATCCAGCCAATAATTAGTCCAATGTCTCTCGTTTAATAGGGCTCGAATAGCGCTTGAAATTACGCTACACCCAAGATCGTAATACAGGAATTTCAGAGAATTTTAAAGTAAAGATAATAGGAAGATATAATACCTGCAATATTATTCCCTTTTCATCAACAATATATTTCATTCAATTGAAATTTACGTGAAAACGATTCAATATTATTTTTAAAAAATCTCATCATTCTTGTGCGGATTATGCCAATGCAATTAAATTTTTTTTCATGCGGTTTACTGTATTAATAAGAAAGGGTTTCGAACACATGCAGTTTTTTTTTTAAATAAATAATGATTTATTCCTATATTCAGGTAAATCTAATCAGGCACTCTTTTGTTGCGTTAATACTAAATATAAATTAATGTTAAATTTAATATTAAATTAATATTAAATTTTTTAATGATCTTTATCAGATTACTTCTATCAAATTGCCACCGAATTTCGTGACTGAATACATTTTCTCTGATTAATTGACATCCGATCATTAATTTAATTCTGTTGTTTATCTTATAAAAGAATAAGAATTAATGTAAATATGTATAAACATATGGTATACATATTTACTCACAACATTTATATAACTAGCTAATGATGTTGACCGTGAGAATAAGATTAATTTGCAGATTTTCATGATAATTGCAATAATTTCTATGAAAATCAATCTAATATTTTTACAAATATAAGAAAATGTATTCTGTAAAATATGTTCAATCATTTCGAAAAGAACACGTACCTTAATAAATACAGTCAACGTGTAGACGATGACAATTGTCAGCATCACGCATCGATTACGGATTAGTTTTCTGCGATTATCCATTGTCTTTGGAATTCTATTCTTCGATCTTGCCACTTCAATCAAACTCACTTCTTTGTTTTTTCAAAAATTACGGTATATTCATAACTCCATCTGCATCAGGATATATTCAAATGAGAACACGCTCTGATCTCGATTTAGAAAGAGAAAACGGAATAATTTACGTTTGAATTAACACAAACGTAGATAGAATGGTTTTTATGGCACTCAAGAGTTCGGGATAAAATATTTCTACGCGAGCTAAGAATAAAATTCGTTCAGATAACCGTTGTAATGTTACCTCGGTGGAGGTTCAACGTGAATTGAAAGGAGTGCATCGGTGCAGCTGTTACTGTTGAACACGCGCCCGGTCACGTGGCCTTTCGTGTCCCTCTCCGTCTTTAGGATGATCCGAATCAAGCCACCCGACATTCGAATTTTTGTAAAGAGACTGTATATGTGGATAGAATGCTAGATACACTATTGCGGCACTCAGGCTCTGTTATATTTACGAGAATTCTTTTATAAGATATTTAACAAATTTCATTTGTGGTAACCGAAAATAAAACGGTATCGTTGCTTGTGCGATCAAATTCTATGACCGAATGAATTTTCTCAGATTAGTTGATATTCAATTATTAACTTAACTTTGTTATATAAAAGAATTGATGTAGCATGTTAAGTGTATTTATTCACAGTTACACAATAAACTAATTATATTGGCTAAACTATTAGAGTAAGATTTCCGTAAATTTGTAATAATTTCCATAGAGTGTGGAAATTAATTTAATATTTTTGCAAATGTAAGAAAATGTGTTCAGGAAAATTGTGAAGCTTTTAAACGTTTTAAAATAAAACGATTAATAGTTGTTAAATAAAAGTTATTAAATATTGACAATATCGTTTAATTAAGTGTATGAATTTAATACGTAATTTCTTATCGGAATAAATAAAAAAAACTCACCTCGAAAATGCTATGTTCAATTGCTAGTCAGTATTTATATCAGTTATCTTGCATTCCTTTTACCAACAGCTGAACATTTCGTGATGTATTGCTTTGCTACCACTATTGCACATTAAAATAAACAACCTGTGAAGCAAGTGTGCATTCGTTCTGGACAGCAGATATTCACGACACAATTAATACTGTCGAGAAAATTTGTTATTCGCAAATAATAACAAATAATTATAAACATTAAAAAATAATTTTCTAAATTTCAGATTATATAACATTTATAAGTTTAGGAAAACTTTCACATCACACGAAAAGTTAAATATCTCGGTAAAAAAAATTCGCAAACCGAATATGTAGTAGTATATATGCAAAAAAGTGCAGTAATGTCGATAATTCTTGACAAATAAATAAAACTGTATTATTTCGATTTTAATTGTAATTTTTGATTCGAGTTAAATCGCACGATATTCAATAATAATATTTTCTCCAACATGGAAATATTGGAAAATAATACTCTCTCCTTCGCGGAATTTTTGAAGTATTTTTCGCAACAAATGATCGAGAAATAGAGAGACGTTTAATTTAAAACTTGATTCTATCATATTCTGAACGAATCTATCCCATACACATAAATAACAACTCGCCTGCGTCCACTACACTGGGTACCATTATATCCTATTGTATCAACCACCTATTATATGAGCTATTGCTCGGTAATACCGACATGAAAGATGAGAGCAATGCATCGGATCACAAGGTTTTTTTAGTTAGAATTAGAGCTGTGCGCCGATGTTATAAATATCGGCGGCAGCGCCGACGGCGCATCGATCGGCACCGTATTATATACATATACATATATCTACTTATATATTAAAAAAAAATTTTTTTGTATATATATATATATAAGTAGGAAGTTAAAAGTGTCAAAAGTTGTACTCTTAAAACCAAATGTAAATATGCAACTTTGCAGCAGCCAATCTTTTTTTTCAGTGTAGGAAATACAGAT